CTCATGTCAACTACTTTCATTGACTTTGATTCCTTTGTTTAGTTTATAGTTACTTTAATGTTGTTATTGAATTTAAATTTTGTTTAATGGTATAGTTCATCGACTTTCGTTATTGATTTTCTTATGACTTGTAAATAAACTGTGAAATTCATCCTTTTAGTTTTTTCACTTTGATTTTGTTATTGAATTTAAAGGTTCTGGCTCGGAATGCGAAGGGATCAGACATTATGGAGCAGAACTCTCTTCTCCTAGTAAATGTCCTGTGAACTTGTTCCTGTTTTTTGTTTTCACCGCTAAACCGAGAATGCTTCTCATTTCAACTACTTTCATCGGCTTTAACTCCTTTCTGTAGTTTATAGTTACTTTGATTTTGTTTACTGAATTTACATTTGTTTAGTTTCATCGACCCTCATCGCTAATTATTGATTTGTTGTGACTTCTAAATGTACTGTGAAATTCATCATTTCATTATTTTTATTTTCATCTCTAACTATGCTCGGCTAATTAAGATTGCTATTATATAATTTTCTTAAGCAAAATTATGTTTCATTGTTGCTTGTAATTAATCATTGTTCGATTTGATTAATCATAAAATTTCACTTTATTATAAGAAGGCTCACTTCTGTTCTCCAAATGGTATTAACGAACAATAATTATCTATAGGCGCGCGCTACACATAAAGCCTATATGTACTCAATTGTAATTGATTGGAATCTGAGTTGTTATATAGAGCGTTTGATTACATCTTTAGCTTTGGTTAATTTAGATTGTTTTTCAGATCTCTTTGTTAGTAAACTTAGGTGCCAAAGAGCCTAAAGTCTCAAATATTGTATTCACAATGGCTTGATAAGATCTCGTCTATGATAAGTTCAATATCAAGTTACTGTCAATACACCATCATAATCCCGTTAAAAGAGACTGTGAATCCAATTAAAAAGTTCTGCCATGAATTACCTTATTAGTTTATCAGATTTACAATATTAATCTATATTGTGTTTGTCCCCCGGGGTATTATCCCAGTTTGAATTATCACTTTATCTCTTTCATCATTAACATACTAATCCCTACTTATTCGTTCTTGGTTTGAAAAACAGATAGGGAACTTGCTGCCAATTGCTCTATATGAAATTACTTACGTCAGAGGCCCTTTTCCGAAGAAATATTTTAGTGATAAATCCTTTCCTGCTATAGGTATCCTTTTTCAGTTAAACCTATCATGTTATCAGTCTCTTTCTGTTATCTCTGAGTTAATTCTGTCAATGCTTATTTCATAAACAGAGAGAGAAAAAAAAAACATGCCCATGTATGCTGATTCACGCCAACTGATTGACTTGATGGAAAAAGGCATGTTTCTCTTTGCTAGTCTATCATCCTCTGTGTAAAACTTTATGGTCTGCCCTATCAGTTGTGTTTCTTTGTTGTCCGTAGGAGTTTATGATGCATTCAAGAATATATGGCATGATATTAGGACCAAGCTAAAAAATAGCCGTCCTATGTTAATTTTATATCATTTCTGAAACTATAATCCTAAAGCTTCAGGATGACTGATGCAGCTGGTTATTTGTAGTTTCTTTCTGTTATTCAAACTCCAACATGCAAGAACTGTTGATAACTGTCAATCTTGGACTGAAGAAAGGGACACCATGCAAGTTTATCTCAACCAATGAAATAACACCCGATCAGACGAGGTAGTCATATTGATATCATGAAATTGTTACCCTGGTTTTCATCTCATGCAGTTGATTTTGGATAGCTAGAACCATTTAGATAAGAAATACCACTGTTTCAGGAGTTCTGCTTGTAAAATGGTCCATACATTGATTCAGTTGATGAGAACTTTGGATAAGATGCCAGAGGAGGTAAAGTTTTATGGTACTTTTTAAATACAGGCTTCATTATTCATTATCAGTTCATGTTTTATTTTTTTGTAAATTAATCTTGTTTACAATATCAAATTCTTTTCCTCCATTTTTTCTCAGCAAATAATACTGATATGCCCTTCACTCAACTTTTGTAGCCTTTCCTCTCTTTCTTTACATGTATGATTTTATCAAGATTGGTACCAGATATTTTTGGCGTGCAGCCTGGTGATTATGAGCCTCCTTTCTTTAGAAGCTGCAGTGAAGAGGAAGATTTCAATCCATGGACCAAAAGTCCTTTAAAAATGGACGTCGGCAATGTTAACAACAAGCATTTTGTATTAGCTCTCAAGGTATGGGGCAGTTATTGCAGGAAGGATATAGTAGTTTTCAGTTAGATGTTCAACCAATTCACATTCTGTGGTTTTTTCTTAGCTTAAGAGCATGCTTGATCCCTGTGAGGATGAGAATGATGATAATCAAGACAGTAGTGTGAGCTTGGGAGCTGATTCCTTCCCGGGAGATGACTGTGAGGTATAACAGTTTTCTCCTTGCGTTGGTACTTCATAAATTTTTTTGCATGGACTAAAATCTGCGTAATGGTGACGATTTCAGGTCAGTCACTCTGATATTGATTAGTAGTACATATATCTGTACTTTATTTAGTATAATAGCTTTGCATTATTTTTGAATGATGTATCCTAATATGTTATTTATGGTACGTTGACCATTTTCCGAATTTACACATTGTTGGTTTCTAATTTCTCTACTCCGAAATCACTTGCTATTATAGCTAACACCTAACAGGATCCTGTTACAACACAAGAACTAGCTTTGATAAATTCATAGAGAGGTTTAGGCTGTAATTTCAAAGTTAGCAAGTTCTGCCATTATTTATCTTGCAAGTTTATCATATTTAAAAATGTGATATCTGCATTGTGTTTGTCTTTCAGGTAGTTTTACTAGTTTGAATTGCTAGTCCTAAATGGTTTTGAATTCTTACTTTATGTCATGTGTCATTTACATAGTTCTTCTTTGGTCCTAAAAACAGACGAGGAACTTGCAGGGGCGGCTCAAGGTGGAGGCTAGTAGCCTTTGTTTTAGGCCCCCTAAATTTTGGGGTCCCAAAAATATTTTTAGTTGTGCATTTACTATCTTATTTTCGTTTAGACAATATTGAAGTTTATAGAAAAAGAAAAAGAATACAAAATCCTTATAAAAATGGAAAGAAAGTCTATCTATTTTTTAACAATAGAAATATTTTAGAACTTTGAATCAAGATACTCAAATTTTCATATTGATAAATAACATCTTTTACAATAAAATCCTAGGTAACGGATTGTAAATACATGGATAACGTCTTATTAACTTGAATTTTCTTGTCAATGTGAATATTAATATTATATTTTATAAGATAACTACACTATAGACAAAAAGAAAGAAATAAAGAAAGAAATGTAATATTAATACTATATTTTACAAGATAACTATACTATAGACAAAAAAGAAAAAAACTAGGTCCCTTATTAAAATTTGGCTTTAGGCCATGAGTTTTATTGAGAGCCTTTGGGAACTTGCTGTCATCTGCTTCATACAAATTTGCTAACGTTAGAGGCCTCTTTTCGAAGAAATTTAAGTCTGTTCCAACTCGAGGTAACCTTTTTCTGCTAAGCCTGTTATGGTAGCAGTCCCTTTCAATTCTCTGAGTTAATTCTCTGCTATAACAATTCTTTTCATTTGTCGGTGTGTTCGATGCATTGCAGAAATATTTTAAAAGATATTTGTCTTGGGTGTGTGAAACAACACGAGCCAATGGATGCTGATAACTAAAATATGCGGACAACCTGTTCATCTAGTGATCTCCCTTTGAGTGGATCCAGCCTCACACATGCTATACAAGAGAGACCATCAATCACACATGAGATTAGCACAGCAGTAACGTCCGTCTGGCATCTTCAAAGAAGCTGCGAAGTCCATCCCGAAGTTATTTCCAGTTCTAGTTGTCAAGAGCAGGGAGGATTTCTACAATATGGTGCCCGAACAAGATGAGGCCTCAGATGCAGTCTTTATCCAACAGGATGTGACTTTAGACGATGAGTTACTGCTCCAATTGAAGATCTTTGCGCTACAACATGACAACCTTTATGTCCTTCCAAGAAAGACGAAGGAGGTTAAAGCACCCGTCGCCCAAGTCAATCATGCTGGCATAGGAATATTTTTCCTAACGACAGACATCTTCATAACTAGCTTAGCATTTCATACGTGGGTTAAGTATGGTTCCACTATATAATTGGATGGTGCTCTAAGTCCATTACTTCATTCATTAGCTAAATTGGCTAAATTGCGTTTGAAGTGAAGTTCTAAGAGTAGATTCAATAGATTCTCTCGACAATTGAAGGTTTGAAATAATTGGTGTACATTTGGTATATGAATTGCAAACTGCTATCCGTTGTTATAGTGCTATGGGCAATCTACTCTCCTCCTTCCTACCTTTTTGAATGAAAGATTACTTTTCTTGTTTCTGTGTCTTTTGACTACTACACTGTTACAAGCCATTATATGCTCCACATCGTACGTATCAATGTCAAAGTATGCCTCAAAATTTAATTGCAGCAATGTCATAGGCCTCTGCAGCTTCTTCTTAGGTACCTACAGAATTGATCCAAGAGTTTAACTTTTATAGTGTAAAAGGGACTACCACATCACCTAAATGACACTAGAAACAACCGTTCTTAAAAAGTCAAATTAGTAACTTGAAAATAAGGTAGGTAACAAGTCACAATAGTATAAAGCACATGATCGTATAAAAAGAAATTTGTGTCGTGTATAAGTTAAATCCTTGATCCAATGAGATTGAAACGCAGCTCCACTGAAAAGTCAGCCAAGTATATGCAGGGGCAGTTCTCATACAGGGGAAAGTGTATAACAAGACAAAGATAAGGGAGGAAAAACAGCAGAAAGAGAGAGAACCATATTTAGACTTAGATTAGGCAGTACAAAGTGAATGATTCCCATTATAAAAGACAGCCTCATGAGTAAAAGCCAGCCTTGCTGACATAAAGTTCTCTACATGCTCTTGTTGGCTCGTGATCAGCCTTACTACAAACTTTAAGACTTGCCATTTTTTACTAACAGAAAAGATTTAAAAAAAAATTATGCCTTTATAATACTGAACAATCCTTATTAAGAGTTTTAAGTTGAATCTAAGCGCACACTTTACACAATAAAATTACATTATCTCGTATGAGAAAAGGAATCACAGAGCTAGTAGTCAAATTCACTCAGTAAATCTCCCCAAATAAAGGTACTTGTTCCCAGCCACTCGGCCGATCCGAGCTTTCCATCTTTCGTACTGATGGTGTCTGCTAAAGCGAAGATCAACAAGGGCGATTTTCAATTTTAGTAACAACAGAACTTCATTTCCAATGCTAAAGTTGCCTACTGAATTGTAGTGAGTATTTTCCTTGTCACCCCTCGATACATTGAAGCTCCTCTTGAAAAATTACTACTCTTCCTGCAAAAATTTGGACAAATCAAATGAATACGAGTACTAATTAAGTGCGGGAATTGAAGCAGCAACAAGCCTACCTTCTTAATTGAGCTACATATTCTTGTCGTGTCATGTTTTTCATTTTCCTACTGCGTTAGAGGTTTTAAAAAAATTATATGACAGCATAAACAAACAAAATACAGTTGATAAATAATCTTTATATACTACTGCATACCGGGAAATTTATGTGTGTTGAGAGTCCCTAGTACTTCAGTGCTGCCAAATCATATGATCTTGCAGCTTTTTCTTCCACGTCATACCCACCTAGATTTATGATATTTATGATCATCTGGTTAACAACAAGATAGACATATACAGTCACGGCTCAATCATTTCACAGAATATACAACGTATACAGAAATTTAAATTAAGATTTACCTAGATAGACTGAAAAAACCGACATGCATCCCCAACAATAATCATGAAGGAGGAGAAAAGAGAAGCAAGTTTGTACCAGTTCAGAGAAACAACTCACCAGAAGTTGTAAAAAGCAAATCCATTAAAAAAAATGTTTGACACTAACATTGCCTTCCTTTCCTGCTCTGCCATTCTTTCTTACAACTGTTGTCCCATAGATGAGCTTCGTATCTACCAGTCCATCTATGCCTAATTCAAAAGAAATATAACTAACAAGATCATGGTGTCTACCTTTTATTATGAAAAAACATATAACCACTTAAGTATTACAGAATAAAGGTCATCGTAATTAAAGAAAACAAAATAGGATAAAGGGGAAGATCTAACCTAGTGACGCCTCGATACTATGAGGTTCTTTGGCCAAAAGTATCAATGGATTTCCTATGAACAATTTGCTTTTGATAATCCACCTTCTCAAGCCCTCTTTTCTTTGTTTCCATGGCAATACTATCCGCGACAGTTGGAGATATTTGCTGCATTCCACTGACACAACTTGATTGAGAGCTAGGGCTCATTGATAAGCTAAGTGATATAAAATCTCCGTATGTTATTGCACCACTAGACCCAGATTCTCCACTATTATCAGTCATGCAGCCTATCATATTCTGCTCTAATACATGCCCTTTTAGATTTTGATAGTTTCTTGACACCCAGTTATTAATTCCAGACATTTCATCAACTGGCATTGTTGGGACCTGAGGATTGCACTCTGTTTTCCCCTGATCAGTAGATTGATATGCTGAGAAATCAGGGTAGTGTTGTTTTTGTTGTTACTGCCTAGAGGTTTCTTGAACAAGGTTCGAGAAATCTTGGCTGTTGGTGGTCTCATTTTCTTGGTGTTGGTTAATATTTTTTTTTGGTAAGGTAAAATTTTTTAAATAAAAAAGGTACCAAGATGGTATAAATATAATAGGCCAGCAACTAACACAAAACTGATCTCCTACATCACTTAACTCCACTAGAAGATTCATATAACTGTTCCAAATTTCCATAACACTTCTTTTGCACCAGAAATACAGATTTATCAAACATCATTTTTAATCCTGGAAATATGTTGCCAACCATATTGTCCATATACAAGGTTTCTTTGCCGCCACCCACCCAAAACAAGCTACTTTACAGGTGCTTTAGATTTCCAAATTGCTTTCCAGTTTCCATGGCCAATTTGAATCATGCATCCTCTGTTGCTTTTCCAATACAGTGTATATCTGTTGACAGTGAATTTTCCATCACCACTTGCTGCCCAGATAAATGAATCTCTTATTATCCTACAAACTAACACTGTCCAGCAACTGCAGCAATTGAGCATGTTCATCTATTTCCAAGTCATTTGAGGCCTCTCCAAAACATCAGTTACCAGCTATTATTTGAGTACAAATCTGCTAAATTTCCTTTTTTGTTTGTGGAGCAACTATATAAAACGGGAAATCTTGATCTGAAGCTCTAATTTCCCATCCATACATCATACCAGAATAAAATATTATTGCCATTCCCAAATATCAGCTTAACAAGCTGACTATATTCACCCTTTAGATTGCTAATGGTACTCCAAACTCCTCCCATAGAAGAAGACTGAATTGCACAAGGAGCCAATAATCCTTCCTTCCACATTTGACTTCTAACAAGCTGCTTCCATAGTCTGTTGCTGCCATCATTAAACCTCCAAACCCTTTCTTGGTGTTGATTATAGTAAATCTTGTTGTCTAAGCTGTGAACCATACCTCATCCGCTACAACCTTCATAGTGATGGATCCCCATTGCTGCATCACCAAAGAAATCCTCCAGTTTAGGTGTTGAAACTTACCATGCCTTCAAACTAAAGTCACAAGGATATTCATAAAATAAGCAAGAATCCCAAAGCATAAAACAGAAAAAAGACCCCATTTAAAGACAGGACAAGTTTTGAGATGAAAATAACCTTTTGGTTGTTCTGACCTGTTGAATGCTTTCACAATGCATAATGAACCATCATTGAGAGGCATCACAGAAAATGAAGAGAAAAAGGCTGCATCGTCACTTTCAGTATTATAGTATATGCCTGGATAGTTGAGATGAGTTGGACAAAATCTAATGCAGACTGAACTTGGAACATTGCTTGAGCCAGGTTGAGTGTGATGGTGATGAGGAGGAGGACCCTCTAAGCTGTTTATGTGAGGGGAGAATGAATAACCAAGCCAGTGGATGTTGCTGTTAGTGTTGCCGCTATTGTCATCATTACTCAGAAGACTTCATTTTCGTTGCTATTGGATTGAAAAAATCCTGACACTTATAAAGAGATTCAGAGCATGTTTCTCTTGGAGCAAGGCGGCAAGTCAATCATTGGGAGACAAATAAACTAATCATACTCCACCCTTTCTTTTGCTCCCTCCATTTGAACTTATTTTCTATTTTTGTTTTCTAGACATAAATCTAAAAACAAAGTAAAAAACAACTGAATGGGCTCTGTGTGTGTGAGAGTGTGTGTGTGTGTGTGTGTGTATCACACTGCAAAGATTACCAAGGAGAACAAAGGGAGTCCCTTTAAACTAAAAAACGAAAAGAATAGGATACAGCAAGTAATGTCGGGCATCCTTCCTGCATTCCGTTGGGATCTGTGTTTGAGAAAGACGTCTTCTTTTTCTTTTCTTATGCTCCACCCCCTGCATCCTTTGGTTTTTCTTTTCTCCCTTTTGCTTTGTGCACGACTATATATGTACTAGTATTACATAAGGAGACTGTTGATTCGAATCTACCCTCGTGGATTACTGCTTCTTTTCTGTGGATAAGGGATATTATATAAAAATGTGAACCAACAAAGTCTCTTCTTGCTAAGCAGAACTTACCTCTGCCACTTATAAGAAAGAAAACAAGAGCAGGCGTTGCTGAAGAAAACTGCACAAGTACGTACCCACGTACTGGTTAATTTAATTGATCTAAAACCAAAGTAAAACTCCATCATCTATCAGTTGGAATTTAATGAGAAATAAGAGAAAGCAATGGTCATTTTAGTAGATGCGACAGAGGAAAAGATTGGAGTTAATATGGCCATAAAACTAGAAATATTAATAAGACATGATACAACAATCAATTAGCTGTGCCTGTTGCCTTTTACAGTCTTCCAACTGCATCAGGGAAGCTTAGACTTAGATCTTCACAAGCAGCAGAATTCAGAAACATCTGGTCACTTCATAGAATAGTCAATATAGCATGCTAGGCATCTACCTCTCCCTTATTGGCGACTCCAGTTTATGTGAACATAGAGAATTGGAATAATGCCACAATCAAAAGAAAGATATAGTCTTTCAACACCTAATCTTGAAATAGAATGCGTCCATTGGTCAAATTCACTAGAAAACTGTCTCCCAAAGCAAAAAGTCATCTTAACATGAGTCACTTTACGACCCGAATAAAGTTGTAATAACTGATTTACACCATTCATGAAATTTTACTGATAGTAAGGGCAACATGTATGGTTGTGAGGGTTAATCCCAAACATGTCAAGGCATCTGAATTGTAATGTAGGTATAGAGGCAAAGAGATATTTTCACCTTCTAGATAAAATGCTCGTCCTAGCAGCATCTATTACTATCAAATGTGCAAGAATGGAAGACAAAACATCATCTGGTAGCTGGCTGAAGTAATCCTCCTTTGCATCATGAACCTAATTGCATTACAGGTGGAAACACGGATTTTTGAAGAGAAAATTTATAAAAAGTTACATTATCCCAACAAAAAAAAAAACTACTAAAAAGATGCCCTTCCCACGCTTATGAGGATAAAAATAACTACTAGTATATTTGATTATCGGACCCAAGTTATGTAGCAAAATGTGGACTCGTGCATATTAACATGCTTTTGGCTCCTCAATTAGAACCTCTACTCTTTAATTTTTTGCCAAATTTGGGTTTAATATTTGTTTTTGTTTTCTGAATTAGCTTCAAACATGAAGAGGATAATCTAATTCAGTACTCCAAAAAAAACGACATTGTCAATTTATCTTAATCACTTTTAAAAAAGAAAGGGAGCCGTGGAGCAACATTAAAGTTGTTTCCTAGGTCGAAGCTTGCAAAAGGGTAGGCTGCCTACATCACACTCCTTGAGGTGCGGCACTTCTCGTACCCTGCGTGCGTGAACGCGGAATGTTTCGTGCACCGGGCTGGCCTCTCAAAAAAACTCCATGAGTAACTAGATTCAAAGATTTTTTTTTCCCCTGGAGATTACCATGACTTTATTTTATAGTTTTGCCAATTTGTTTTCATAAGACAACATCAAAAATAAAAAATAAAAACAGATTTTGCACATATCTCTGCTAAAGCTTTCTCTTTTTCTACGTGATCAGGTACCAAATACTTTTTGATTAATCGACCTGGTCTTGACCAGAATAGAACTTTACTTCTCGGTTTTTTACCCAAAAACCCGTAATAATTCATCCAAAGAGCAATTCCACCCAATGTAAGCAACGGCAAAATTATTCGTCCTAACAAAAGGAAAAGGGAACAAAAAATTTGCAATAAAACACAAAAGGAACGAGCTTTCATTATCACAATTCAACTAGTTAAAAGGAAGAGAATGTTAACCGGGAAAATTTCTGTCAGCAAGCGCCATATATGTATGTATAATTCTGCTGCTAATATTTAACCGAGAAAGAAAGCACTCCAACTTGGGGCAGAATACGGTTTTTTATGTGCCGACTGCCTCGGCTTTTGTTATTTTCTTTTTTTAATTTTGGGATTTGGGATAATTTAAAAATAATAGTGCTTCATTTGTCCTAATTTATTTGGTGGACCTCGGATTTTAAGAATAAATTTTTTAGAGCCCGTTTGGCAAAGTCGCTAAAATCTGATTATTTTAAAAAATATTTTTTATAGTTTGTGTTTGGCCAATTCATTTTAGAAGTACTTTTTGCAATATTTGGTAAACAAATTGTGTTTGGCAAATCTTCTAAAAGTACTTTTGAGTGTCAAATTACCAAAAAAAATGAGACCAAGGTCTTATAATTGTTTTAAATAGAAAAATAAACTCAAATATTTATCGTAAGAGACTTTTAATATTTTTTATTTTATTTAATTAAAATATAAAACATAAAGTAAACAAACATATTAAAGATTTAAATCAATTTTACAGATATAATTATATCAAATCATATATTATTATCTAGTATAATTACTTATTGTTACATGATGATTTGAATAATCAAAATACATCATTTAGTATGAATTAGAAGTCTATTTCATAAATTACTATATATTGATAATTTACCATGAAATAATAAGTAAAGTCACTCACACATTATAATATTTCTCAATAATTTCATCTCTACATCTATCACACACTGTCTCCATATTAGTAGAAGACTTGCCTTGCATCTAAAGGAATATCAGAAGGGCCAACTCCTTCCTCAATCTCTACAGTGATGTCTTTATTAGCATAATAATTGAATTTCTTATCGGTAGAAGAATATCGTCGGATGAAATTATGTAGCCATGATAATTGTAGTTAGATGATTCTGAGTGTCAAACTTAAAAGATGGCATTGGGTAAAATAGAAATAATTTTAAATATATAAAAATAATTTTTTTGTAAAAAAATAGTTAAGTATATTTAAATCCAATTCAAAAAGAGTAACTAATCATTAACAACACATAATGTATAATTAATTTTTTAAATTTAAATTAAAAAAAACTAATTAGTATTACCTAACCTTACTAATTTTGTCCTACATTGTCAAGTGGCCTATTGTCATGTTGTCACTTGGCTTAATGTGTGATGATTTTTCTTCTTCTTTTAATAATATATAAATAGATTATGAGATACAATTGTGAATTTATTACCTATTTGTGGGTAATTTTTACAAATTAGATTTTATAACTATTTTAAAGATTCGGGAACTAATTTATTACCTATTTGTAGGTAATTTTCACAAATTATAAATGATTATTTGTAGGAAGAGAATTGATAATCCAAAAAAGGATGTAGATAATATGCTTTAGTGTGAAAAAGGAAGAAAATAATTTTGAAAGTTACAGGATATTACACAAAAAAAAAATCAAAAACAAAAAAAGTCAATAAAGAATTTAGAAAGTTACAATATGATTCGTATATATGATATCTTTAATTTTAAAAGAACGATAAAATTAGAAACAAAAATAAAAAGAAAAAACTTAAATTAGTAAGGGATAATTTGGAAAATATAAATTTATGGTGAAGATAGTTTTGTCTTGAATAAATTAATTTTTTACTTCTGCTTCTGCTTCTTGGAAGAAGCTAGAATTTTCTGTTTCTTCCCAAAAGCAGAAAAATTGCTTCTGCTGCTGGCCAAAAGTACTTCTCTGTATTGGCCAAATAGCTTAAATTTTTTAAAAAGTACTTTTTGGAGGAAAAAAGTACTTTTGGTCTCCCAGAAGTTTGGCCAAACAGGCTCTTAATGTAATTATAAATTTATATAAACACTTCAAATTTTTTATAAAGAAATTTATCTATTTAAAAACTATGTAAAAAGTATTATAATTATAATAATATAAAATTCAAAAAATCTAAAAGATATATGAAAAAACTTGTTTGACTCTCCTCAAAATTTCTCGAAAATTGTTTGGCTACTATAGTTGGTTGAATGCGTGATCTCATAAATTTTATTGTTGTCGATATTGACATGTAGAACAGGACTCTATCTTTATTCGCGTCTGATTAATCCAAGGTGGTAAGAAATGGAATCAATAAAATGAAAGAAGCTTCTTTGAGAAAGAGGCTGGATGCGTCTGTAGGAATGCATATTTGCTTATTGAGATTTGAGACACAAAATTTAATTAGTTTTTCAATGAAAACCTTAGAAATTGGTATGTATTTTATCTTAAATAGACATCAGTTGTACAAATAGCAAATTTTTATTTTTCAACCAAGTAATTTCTAACTGAATCATTGTTGCTGCAATTTGTGTATTATTTGTATGCCTAAAAATATTGACTTACACCATAATTCCTTTTCTAATATCTTTCTTATTCAGATGAATACTGTCACCAATGTTGAAAAAGGTACTCATTCTATTCTGAAGCAAGATGACAAAGAGCACAAACTCTTGTCGCGAAATCCCTAGTGTGGAATCTATTAATCATCCTGGTGGCGGAGCAACAATCAAGTAAGGGTGGTCAATCGAACACCCTTAGCCGGAAAATTAGATTGTATATAAAAGTAAAATATTCTCTATTGTTATAAAATAAAAGCAATATATCAAGAATCATGTAATTAACTAGAATTAATAATAGAAGAGAATGATAATATTAGAAAAAAATATTTTTTTCTTCGTTTTCAAAGTGTCTTTTTTAGGTTCATGAACGAACCTATTTATAAATACTATTACATTTTACAGAACTTCCTAAATCTAGTTATGAGTCTAAAAACCAACACGAATCTAGACATATCAAGACAAATCTAGATATGAAAAGATTTTCCAAATCGCAAGTTGGACATCCACCTTCTATGCAAGTGAATTTATAACACTCCCCCTTGAATGTCGATTAAAAGATAATTGTGTCTCGTTAAAACCTTACTAAGAAAAATCCAGTATGGAAAAGTCTAGTGAAGAAAAAAGAGTACACCTATCTTGTAATATGCATTGAGAGTTGTCTCACCAGGAAACCCCAATTTGGACAAAACCTTTAAGGAAAAAAGAGTACAATGCGTGTTTTTCTCCTTGATGAGAGCATCAATTCACATCTTTGAACATTCGCATCCCAATCTTGTACTCTAGCTTCTTAAAGGTTGACGCTGGTAGAGATTTGGTGAACAAATCAGCCATATTATCACTTGAACGAGTCTGTCGCACATTGATATCATCATTCTTTTGAAGATCATGTGTAAAAATAATTTTGGTGAAATGTGCCTTGTCCTATCTCCTTTTAGCATCCTTCCTTCAATTTGACTATGCATGATGCACTATCGTCATACAAAATTATGGGTATTTTATTATACTTTAAACCATATTTTCTCGAATAAGATGTATTATATATCTCAACCATACACATTCTCGACTTGCTTCATGAATAACAATTATCTCAGCATAATTAGATGAAGTAGCCACCGCCAAGATACGACAGTGCCTCCACATTTAAACACATAGCATGTTTGAGATCGGGTCTTGTGTGAGTTAGATAAATACATAACATCGGCATAACCAACAGGATCAGGACTGTAATCATTGCCATAAAATAAACTCATATCGATAGTCCATTTTAGATACCGCAATATGTGTTTGATTCCATTCAAATGTCTCCTTGTAGGAGCAGAGTTATATCTTGGTAAGACATTAACTGAAAAAGTTATGTCAGGCCTTGTAGTATTAGCAAGATACATTAATGCACCAAATTGTACTAAGATATGGTACTTCAAGACCAAGAAACTCTTCATTCTTTATTTGAGGTCGGAACGGATCCTTATTCATATCAAGTGATCGAACAACCATCAGAGTACATAATGGATGTGCTCCATCCATGTAAAGTCGTTTTAATACCTTTTCTATGTAGGCAGATCGATAAACAAATATCGCATTTGCCAAATGTTCAATTTACAAACTAAGACATAATTTTGTCTTTCCGAGATCTTTCATCTCAAATTCCTTCTTTAAATAATCAATTGCCTTTTGGAATTCTGTAGAAGTTCCAATGAGGTTTATGTCATCAACATATATGGCAAGTCAACAAACTCCGATGATATTTTCTTTATAAAAATACATGGACAAATGACATCATTTATATAACCTTCCTTTAATAAATAATCAGTAAGGCGATTATACCACATTCGTTCTGATTACTTTAGACGATACAAAGATCTTTGCAATTTGATCGAAAATATTTCCCGGAACTTTAAATGATGTGCGTCAGGAATTTTAAATCCTTAAGGAATTTTCATGTATATCTCATCAAGTGAGCCATAAAGGTAGGCTGTAATCACATCCATTAATATATATGCCAAGCTTTTCATGGACAATAAAATTAATGAGATAACGAAATGTTATTGCATCTATAACAGATGAATATGTCTCTTCATAATCGATACCAGGCCTTTGTGAAAATTCTTGTACAACAAGTCGTGCCTTATATCTTTGCACCTCGTTTTTCTAATTCCTCTTACGTACAAAGACTCGTTTATAACCAACAGACTTAACACCATTAGGTATTTGGACTACAGGTCCAAAAACTTCACGTTTCGCAAGTGAACTCAACTTTGACTGAATTACTTCTTGACATTTTGGCCAGTTACATCTTTGTCGACAATTTCCAACAGACTGAGGTTCAAGATTGTCTTGATCCAAAACCCACTATAGGCCGCGATGACGCCAAACGTCGCAGTTAGGCAAGCCAACGGTGAACTAACAACTTAATTATTCATTTTATTATTTTCGAAATCGTGAATCTTATTAGATAAGGAAATCAATGCTTTAAAAATTGTGAAAACTTACAATTTAAATAGAAGAAATAATAAAAATGTGTAATAGCTAGGCAACACCACAAACAATTTACAGAATATCGCAAAACCCGGTGTCACAAGTTCATGAGCACTTACTAAGGAGTACAATAATAATATAGCATCTGTCTAGAATGTAGATGAGATAGGATAAAATGAATAGTACGATGAAGACTTTGTGGACTGCGATGCGTAGCCTGAAATGCAGCTCACATAAAGTCTCATCAAAAACTGTGC